GACTGTACAGTAAACCTAGCTTAAGTGTTTAATTTATCAGTTTTCTTAACGTATGTAAAGTTTGAAGTAATTTAATTTAAAATTCTCATTTAATTTATTATTATTATTATTATTATTATTATTATTATTATAGATAGTTTCCCAAGGAGGTTAGGTACTCTAGTCCACAGGAGGTTCAGTTTTAAAGGAAGGGAAAAGATACAGTCACAGGATGAGAGACAACCATCAACACACACTATCAGGAAATACGGAGGAAAATATAAGTCATTCTTTTGTGACAGCAGATTTGAGGTACAATACAATACAATATTAATAGAAATATTGTACATGTACATGTAAGTAATTGAGTGTGCAATGAGTCTAATGTAGGAATTCATTTGGAGCTTTTTATGCATGACTGTTAAGCCATTACTTTTTACTGCATTAGAATGCCTTAAAATGTATCCAGCAATTAAAGTTACCATACAAAGCTGGTTTACAATATTACACTAGTCTTGATGTTACGTTGATGCTGGAATAAAATTTGGTTCTATTCCAGCAGAGAGCATGTGTCAAAAGGTCAAATCGCCCACGCTTTTGATTAAAAATTGATGGTACACTGACCTAGCATTATATTGTAAACTACAATGTATATACCGTATAGGGGTTATATTTCACTGGTAATAAATTTCGCGAATTTTGTGTTTTCATTAAATTTGCAAAATTAACTTCCACAAAAGAGGTGTGACACACTATGAAAAATGGCTGCAGAAGGTAGGATTCGTGAAAATTTATACCAACAAATGGCAAATCTGAACAAATTCGCGAAATTTTATAACAACAAAATAAAACCCCTATACGGTATTAAAAAATATATAGTAGATGATGTAGTAGTAAATATATAGTAGTAGATATATAGTCGAAGATGATGATACACTGTATTTAGAACACAAGCCAGAGCATTCTAAACCTACATGTATGCATCAAGAAGTCAAAATCTCCCACACAGTTAACAAAAATATGTTTTTAATGTATATTGTAAGATATAAACTGAACTTATAGATACATGTAGCTAGAAAGAATTTTATGATTATATTAATTACATGTACATGTGTATTCCTAATGCTAGGTACATATTGATGGTCCTTATGGTACCCCCTCCAGTGCTATATTCCAATCAGAACATGCTGTACTGATCAGCAGTGGTATTGGAGTGACTCCATTTGCCTCTATACTCCAGAGTATAATGAACAGGTTTAAACTGAGCAAACAAAAGTGTCCTCACTGCTCTCACTCATGGACTGGAGAAATACCATCAACCATACTGAACCTTAAGAAGGTACAGCATACTATGATACATTAATGATACTGATACTTATTGATGTCCTTATGCTGTGTAGAAAGTTTGAGTTGATTCCGACTTTATT